TGTGAACTCTTCTTAAAGTTTGAGGCCGATCGGATTTGGGGAGATAAGGGAAAGACAAGAGAAATGCAGTTTATCCTCCTTAACCGATCAATCGAGAGCTGCGGATGGCATGAACGCATTGTATAACGAAAGGAGAAAATCAGGGGAATCAAAAGAAAGGTTAGGAATTTTACCTGAGAGGCGTTTCATCTACCGCACCTGAGACGGTGAGGATCACGAAATACCTTCGGGACCCGACAGTAGCTGGAATGGAATTGGCAAACGAAATATGTCTGGACGACTGAGGTCTTCAAGACGAGGGCCAGCCAGTACATCTTGCGTCTACGAACTAAAGAGACAGCCGAATAGGAGATTCCTTGTACATATTTCGACGAAATCGATTGCTGAAGGCGGGGATCCCAGCTCCCGATTGACCAGTGACACTCGAGTTTTGGCTAAGGGGATTTGACAATTGGGGAATGGGGATCTAAAGTCTATGGTGGCGGGCTGTTCTGAATCAGGGAAGAATGGGAGTTAAAGGAACAGAGGATTTACAAGTAAAAATCACACTCTCCCCTCTGATGAAGAAGATGATTACACGAAGGAGATGAGATGCAGATAAATGAAGACTTTTTCTGGAGAAAAATGAATGGAGATAGAATGAGGACAAAACGGCGTTGTCAATCCACAATTAATATATTGTAGACTTTGGTGAGATTTTCGCCAATTCAAACTTCCGCTTCTCCCCGTAACTTTCGGCAAGGGTATCATTGTAAATGCCGGATATCTTTTTTCCAGTCGAATTGTGTTTTTTTTCCACCCCATGCTGTTGCAGCCCTAGCCTTCTTCCCCTTTTCTGTTCACAGACAAAATGCTCAATATCTTGTGATTTTCCTTCTCTTCCATCCCACGACCTTACATATCTAATGCTTTCTATTTTGAAGCCACCGGCAGCAAGATCAGATTGCACAGACTCGCCAATGACAAGGGAGTAAGTGAGCTATGATTTGAAAAATCTGGAGGGGATAGCTTATCCAAACCTAGGTTTTCTTGAGTTGGATCTTTTGCAACCCAAAGCCATTTTGATTTGGTTCTCAATCGCAAACTGGGATCCCCGCCTTCAGCTGTCGATTTTGGCTTTATAGTGAACGGAATCCCCCTAATCCAACGAAGCTTCAGTGCTTCACACGCTGACCCATCTTCAAGAATTCTGCCTTTTGGTGAATGTTGTTTGCGGACGTCAATTCCATTGTTGTTGATGCGGAGTTCCGCCTCACGCTCTAAACCTCAACTCCCTGTCCTTGCTGAATCGAAACATATCGGAGTGGTAACAAGTATTCCTTTGCTTCTTTCTCTTTCTGTACCTTCGTTTTCAGTTCCGTCAATCGGGGCAGGTTTTTGGTGAGACTTGGGACTTGGGAGCACACTGTAGTGTACAATTTCCATGCTTAGGTTAGACTAATTGCATGTACAATCCATATTCCTCCATACCCTGCACACGGGAAGACAGTCAAAGCTTCCGGGTGAATATCCACTTTACCTTCCCCAAAGTCTTTTTAAAGGCTTATGCTATTAGAACTTAGAAGCATACGCTAGGGATTAATTGTGGAGTGGGTTCATATATAACCTACTCATCCGGAGTTGAATGAATGGCCGCTCTATTGTTCTGCTTTGTGAACCATCTCTCCGCATTATTTAAGTTTCGAATAGGTAGGTGATTTTGTTGCTCAAATAATTATATTGCTGTCTTGGATTGATTCGCAAATTCTGTTTCCCTCACTGCAGATTTGGACACTTCAAATTTTTTGAAATTTGTATTAATTTGTTTTCAGTTTCAAATCGCATTGCTACTGTTGGGGTGCACGAATGGTGATTCTCTTACACATTTTCACTTATGCGTCTAAACTTTAAGTCACTCTCTCATAAAACTCGGAATTCGTGGTTATCCATTGTTCAAGGATGGCAAGAGATGTTCGATGAGCATAATTTTAAGTTGAGGCATTCATCGTGCATGAGATCGGATAAATGAATATCAATTTCAACAAGTTCAGTTCAAGCTAATTGGCAGTCGATCATGTGGCAGGAGAGAGTATGATTTACCTTCGACTAATGAAATTATTGCACTAATTGTTGATGAAGCATGAGAAGAAACATTTGGACCGGGAATTGTGGCATTCAGATCTTATTTGTAATCATCAAGTGAGGCAAATGTTGAAAGAGAGGGGATTGTTTCATAATGTGGTTATTATAGCTACCGACTTCCTACACACGTTGGGAGTCCAATTCATTATTATTTGGGAGAAAATGATTTTTCATTACAATATGTCGCAAGCACAAATGTTGTGAGGGAAGCTGGGTTGCTAGATTGAATTCGCAACAATTAATCTAAATTCCATGCTCATTATTTTCAAAAATTGATGAATGCATTTATGAGAGAAGATACATAGTTGAAATTGAGTGGAGAACATATCATTTTGTCTGCATCCCATAATCGTAGCCAATAGTAAAAATGTGAAAACTTTCACAATACAATGGTCATTTGTCTATTCATATGTTATCATCAGATTTGTTTATCACATAAATTGGTCAGAGATTCTCTTCACGCTTGACTGTACGTAGATTGTTCTATTTGACTCATGGAGTTATGCATGGAATTGAACTCTGTTGCATCCAAGAGAGAATGGTATCTACTTATTCCAAACTGTGTAGAACTTTATATTTGCTTTCTATTAGGACGCTTATTGAATAGATCTTATCTCATTCTATTAAGACTCTAAATGAATCTCAAGCCCCTCACAAGACCCATTACAAGGACCATAATTTGCACTTTAGCTTCCTAATCCACTATGAACCAAAAACTCTTCCCCTTTCAACCAAGGTTATTAAGCCTCTACTGGCCGGTCGGTTGGACCTATTCCGATCATTTTCAGACTCCAAAATAGTTTCCAAAAAGCTCCGAGTCTGACCACTAGAGAAGGAGAAGAAGAGAGAGGGAAGGAGAATGGTGGGTGCACATGGGCGTATGCAATTTTTTTTACTCGAAGAAGGAAGTGAGTTTCTAATAGTTATATGTAAAGTAAATTTCATTTTATTATTAAAATTTTAAATTACTATCTTATTTGTATATATATTTAGAAAAATGTATACACCGGTCAAACAAATTGGACCTTAATTAGATAATTGAAGCTCAAACCATTTACTTGACCGACTCAATCACTTAAACTGGTTTTACAACCTTACTTTTAACCGAACCGCCACAAAAAATATATATTTAAATAGGACACTCTATAGACATGGATTTAATTAGTACCAAAAAAGGGCAGCCTATCTTAGCTTGGGGTCAATTTATCGTTTTATCGGCCAACGGGCCGGCTCACAACTAGTTGTAGTTGTAGGAAAGTTTGGGTGTTCTAAATTTATGATTTGAAGAAAACCGTACTATGATTTATATAATTAATAGTTAAAGAATTAATTTGAGTGTAATGTACGACAAAATTTGATATGGGACTAGAACGTATACAACAATTAACGAGTTAACGAGTGAGTATGATTGTAATTATATTAATTATTAATAATTAAATTGATTATAAATAAATTAAAATAATTAACAATTAAATATATACCCAGCTTTCCAAGTTCCTGGAGCAATAGTATCTTTTTCTTAGCTTCTTGAATCTTCATATAAGATTGAACTATGAGACACTTGCTTCCATCTGCTACAAACATCCAAACAGATTGAGCATCCTCTTCCAGGCTTCCAGTTACAAAACCCTTTCGTGGAGTAAAACATAAGAGGGAAATGGCTAGTATGTTTTAGGTGATCAAAGTTATACATTGATAGTTGAGCAATAGTTATGTAAAACTGATATGCATAGCTGCTCCTGATTCTGCTGAACCAAGGTCCTCCAGTAATCCTACCATTCCAGAGAAACACCAACAGAAAAATTAAGGAATTTCCCTTGCAGAATCAACAGAAAATTTTTAAATGATCAGATTTGTTTGTATGTTATAGAGGAGACCAGAAAATTGAAGATATGAAAAGTACCTAAGTGGTTAGGATTTAGATTCTTCCCCTGTATCTTGCATATGTCCCTTCAAGTCCCTGCGGAAGTAATGAAAACGAAGTCATTTTACTCCATAGAGATGAAGCCAAGATGAAATGCTAGAGGAACTTGTTACTCCATGTGTATGTTGCTAACAGCTATATGAGCTGATTGGTTGCAATGATTGGAGTTAGGGATGGCAATTTCGACCTGACCCGTTTTATCCGACCTGTTTGACCTGTTTTGGGGCGGGTTAGGCGGGACGGGACAGGCATGGATATTCTCATCGACTCGACCTGCCCTGACCCGCCTCATTCTCGGCCCGTTCTTGCCTAAATTACATGTAAATTTAGTCAAATTACTTACGATTCTTCTCTTATTACATCATATTTTAGCTATTATAAAGTTGTAAATTAGTGAAAACCTCAATTTCTCCAATAATTTAACTATATTTTATCATATTATTATCTATTTTTTGGTCTTATAATGAAAATAATGAATATTTTTATGTTTTCCATATAAATTGCATACCCATTGGGTCGACCTATCCTGACCAACACCCCGAAATAAATTACCCGACCTGGACCCAACCTGCTACAGGACAGGTATGGGTATTGAGATGCCCGCCCCGAACCTGCCAATGTCATTCCTAATTGGAGTCTTGTTTCGAGTCTTGACCAGTTGACGGGGCAGAGCTTAATACGACAACTTGATTACCAAAAAAATGATTTACAATACATTGCCGTTCTCTGTAGTTCTTTGCACAAGCACGACTTTTAGCATCAAGGACTATACAGGCAATGAGAATTGCTCGCTTGACACAACAGCAATTAAAGCGGTTGGCGTGCTTTTCAGCGATCTGCACACTAAAAGCGTAGTATGAGAAGCGAATAAGCGATCCAACCCACAAATTAGTATTTCGGAAAATTTGTGTAAATCATGTATTGAGAGTTTTTTTAGGGCAAAGATCCTCTATAGGTCCTTCCGGATCCCTTACTCTTTAACACGAGTCACATTGTCGGTCATAACTTGCAGTAGCAGAGTTTCAATAATAAACTCAGGAAATCGTTTAATCGATGTGCAGAGTCACCATAACATAACCAGAGAGCATACTGCTGAAACATCCATATGACCCATCCGGATGTCCGGATCCCTGACACTTCTGTCACATTCTGTCATAAGCCCTGGCAGACTCCATTGCGCCTGTAAAAGGCATCATATAAAGAATCTAAAATTCAAACCTGTTTACGACAACGTCAGAACCAAACTCAGCAGCACTCATGCGTTCCTACTTGTTAAAAGAGAGCGACACATTGGCATAGTAGAATGACATCCAAGCCACCCGAATGCAACATATATCAATCAACAACTCATAAGCTCAAGGGACAGTAAAATCATTCAGCAATCTAGCATCGTCAAACAAGGCAGTGGCAAATTATCTTGGTACACTGATGTGCTGATTGCACCCCCCATAAACGTAACACATGACAGTAGCTTATCCAAACAATCACAGGAAGGCATCCTTCTCGAGCAACTTGAGAACCTCCTGCTGGTTGTTAAGCTTTGCAACATCAATGGGAGTCTTCCCGTCCATGTTCTGCAAAGTTCTGCACCATAAAAAGACAAATAATAAAAGATCAGCCATATCGTTTTTGTAAAAAACCCCAAGACTGTCAAGCATGTTTACGCATTCAAACTTACACTGCAGCACCATTCTCGAGTAGGAGGGCTACACACTCTTTTCTCCCATACCCAGCTGCATAATGGAGAGCCGTGTTCTTATTCTTATCCAGTGCATCAACCAGGGCTCCCGCTTCAAGAAGGATTTGAGCACACTTGACCTGGAAAAAGATTTAAGATTTGCTTAGTAGATATGATGTTTTTAAATTAAATACCAAGACACACCTAACAACCCTAACATTCCAACTAACAAGTGCACAAACAAATCATAACGCACTACTTTCGATCTCAATTTCAGGAATTGCAGTCTGCAGTGCACCAAAAACGAACAGAAGTTAGAGATCCCTCGCAGCATTCTGGAAATCAATCTCTAACAATACCTCTCCATATCCACAGGCAAAATGCAAAGCTGTTCTTCCCTCAGAATCTTCTTCATCCTTCTCTGCGCCAGAGGCTAGCGCAGCTTTAAGACCCTAGCAATGGTATAGAGTATCTAATGTAAGCTTCTGTGAAGTGAAATAAATTGAAAGAACAAGCACCAAAGTAAAGGTCTGAATGGAGTAATTGGGGGGAAAAAAATTATTGTGGACGCCAAGATCCACAACTGGGGTATGATAGATGTTATCGTACCCACATTTCAACTAACCCAATCCTTCCATTGGATTTAGAAAATAATTGAGTCCAAGCAAAGAAACATCGAGTATGGTTAAGTAATACATTGGTTATGATAAATCAAGAAAATTGTTCAAATAACTCAAATGTCTACCAAACACGAGAACATTAGAGAAACTGGAGACAGAAACTTTATTTCTATATCACTGTAACTTATTACCACAAGCAAATGACATCCTTGTTTCTCTTCCGTCAAACCATGCGAAAAATACAAAAAGTAACTACAATCACTGTAGTACCATTCACAACCCATGGCCAAGAGGTTGGGCTAAATACTAGGCTTCCATATTTGCCTCTTACTAGCATAAAGTATCAGTCAACATATCACCTTGACCATACATCATAGCTCACAGCAACCCCGTTCTCGTGTTGAGACATGTTCAGTTAATTCAACTCTTAAACGATTTTGTTTTCCAGTTTTTCCAACACCAATAATTTGTCGAATAGAAATAAATATTATTTTTTTTCCAAACCATGAATGGGAAAAGATTATGTCAAGCATTCACCCACGGTGCAAGATTCCCAATTCTCAATGAACGGCTAAAAATCATAAAATGTTTAGCTATAACTCTCCACAGATTCACATCAGAAAGCAGTTAAAATAGTGAAGACCATAAACGTAACCACCAACCTCAACATCCCCGACACTGGCACAGTTATGAACAATAGATTCGTCATCATTTCCAGCTTCTTCGGCTTCCTCTAGGACAGAGTTTTCTGCTGAGGTGGCTGCTTCTGGAGGAACTGCTACACCCATGGCTTCACCCAACTTCTTCAGAACATCTTTGTCGTTCCAATATCTGCATGAACAAGTTTCTCAATCATTGACTAATATGAAGGGTAGAATAAACTCCTCCGCCTCCATTTAACTACTGAGCCAAACGGAGAAGGAAGGATGATAGGAGTGATCCTTCCTAAGTGTTAAGAAATGAACTGGAGGTCTCAGATTTTTATGTTTAAATTCCCAACCTCATCATGGCAGCCGGACCACCACTCTCAATCTCTTCCAAAATGGGCTTCAAAGAAGGGTCTTCCTTTATGCGTGCCATTCTTTCCTCCATTTGATCTTTTTGCACCGGATTTGTCAAATGCTCAAGCATATGTGACATTGATGGATCCTAAATGAAAAAAAAAAAAAACTTCAATATCTAACCACCATCAATTTTAATAGAATCAAATGAAGAAAAATAATTTCAAAACCCCAGCTATTCTTTAATTATACCTGCATCAACGCGCTTCCAAGGCGTTCAGCCATAGCCATAAACTGAGGGTTCTGCATAACCTGCTGCATGGTAGAATAATATTGCTGTGTGTCAAACTGAGGCACACTCTCTTCAACAGCTGCACCTTGGAATGTTTTCTGCAGCTGTTCTGCCATCTGATTAAATGAAGGATCTTTTGCTATCTGGTCCGCTAGTTCCTTAATGCTTGGGTCCTACATATACCACGTGTTTATTTAGAAGTTAATGAAGCAGAAAATGAGAGGAAAGACGAGAAAGAAATCAGAAGATGAAAGTGGGACAACTGAAAGAGAAAGGCAACCCATTCATGAATCACAAAGCCCAGTGTGACAAAGAACCATAACATAAGTAAATAAAATAAACTGATCAAAGATCAATCAAAATGATAAATGCAGTGGCTCCAGAATTCAACAAGATGCTACATCTTGTGAATATGTTCAGCATCTTCTACGCAATCATAGCTACACGGAATCATAACATATATACACTATAAGGGTTCAATATGTTCGTAAGTAATCCAGTTGGTACAGCCTCTTAAGCGGGTAATCAGATTACAGAAACAACGTCCAGAAGAATTTGATTGTAATAGTTTTCACTTTTTATTGTAATAATGACAACGCAAAACAACCACATGCACAATCTCATTTTCTATTTGCAGTAGTGAAAGAATTCATTTCATGTTTTTTTCCCAATCAGTACCCAAAAGGCATTAGCCTAATAATCACCTAAATCTACTGCACTACGAATCGAGAGCAAAAAAAAACAAAAACAACTTTTACTTCATACCTAGCTGTTTTTCCATAACCTTTAGCAAAATGCAATAAGCCAGCACAAGTTCACATTAACCGCCCATCAATCATATGCGACAGAGCACACAACAATACTTTCCACATTCATTCAAGAAGAGACACTAGCACCTAACTTTCGAGGAACATTCACACAAACACACACCAGAGTCGCTGTTTAGTTAATGATTGCAGAACATCATACAGAATCTGAGGCATGACAACATCACGTGAGTTTAGTAGGGAATAGGGAAATATACATTAAGCAGGCCAGACATTGCTGAGAAATCAAAAGGATTTGGAGCAAAAGCTGCTCCAGGTGTAGCAGAAGCTCTTCCTTGCCCTGACTCTGATGCTGCAGAAGATGCTTCAGGTTTTGTAGATTTCTCTGAAGAACCTGTGGTTTTACAGATTGGAACAGGTAAAGGAAATATGAGAAATATCACCAAAGCAACTAAGTACAGAGCCCAGATGGCAGTATCAACCAGAAACTTTGAATATAGTTAAGTACGGCATCAACACCATAAGAAGACATAAAGCCTGGCAGGGATTGGGTGTAATAGTTATTACTGGGGTATTACATAGGCTACGTCTATGGTTGCCCGCAAACAAATTGACTGCAGAAAATGTCTCTGGGGAATTAGAAGAAACGCAGTAATGAGCAGAGGAAGAGTTTGGTTTGCCTATCAACGGCACTACTAGAGGCATGTTGAGAGAGAACCAGGACGCAAGACTGGAATGGACCTTTGCATTTCGAGTGCAAGAGAAGAGCTCTAAGATACTTCAACAGACAGATTATTGCTAGAGATACAGTGTGCTCTATTCCAACAAGTAAACTTGCACATATCAAGAAAGGGTCTGAGGTATACGAGAGATAATGGACCGCGCACAGGATGAATGAACAACAGGAGAATGGTGCAGAGGGATAGTATCATCATCTAGATAATCATCGAAGAGAATATGATGTTCGTCAACACAGGAAACAAAACCCACTTTGGAGAACCCTAAACCAAAGCCCCCAAAACGAGAAAGGGAAACGGAGAAGAGAAGTCAAGTGCAAGAACAAGAGTGCAAGGGCAAGAAAAGAAAAGAATAAATACCAGATGGGGGAACATTCTTGTTGGAATCGTTGGAAGCCATGACGAACAGCTGCAACCAATTCAACGAGAAAATTCAGTTGCGCTAGGTTATAATCAGGCAGTCGGAATGGAATCTCAATACACGATCAGAATTGGGAACGGCGAAAGAGGGAAAAAGAACCGATCTAAGTTGAGACCAAGAGAATAGCTTACCCAGTCGAAGTAGTAGGTCGGAGATGGAGAAGAAAAGAATTGAAGTGGTGATTGGGGCGGGCAGCGAAAAGGGAATCTGGGAACAGAGAACTCGGAAGCGATAGCAGAGGAGACGAAGCCACGCACGGCCAGCGCTAGGAGATGACGGATAGATTAGATTATAATGGTTTGGAAGGAGGAGGAGAAGAAGAAGATAGATCGCTTCGCTAGAAAGAAAGAAACCGACACCGTGGCCACGGACCCGGGCCCAAGAGTGGAAGTGGGCCCCTGTCATTTCATATCCTCATCTTTTCCCCAAACGATCATCGCGCGGCTCCAGCAGCGTCGTCCGTCTCGTGGTTGCCGGTTTGTAGCCCAACTTTTTTTTTCCTGGGAGCCCAACTCTTTTTTTTTTTTTTTGGTAAGAAGGTAGACGCAATGCGCCTAAGTGACATTAGAGATAAAACGTTCATGGAAAATTCCCATTACATCATGGCGGATCCAATATACAAGATCCTTGTCGTACACATTCATGGGAAACTCCCATTACATCATCTTCAAATCTTTTGTCGATGATTTTGATCGCTGTGGTGGAGTTCATGCTGAGTTGAATTTTGCGGTAGCCTTCTCTCCAAGCTATCTTGAGTCCCTCCAAGGCTCCCCTTAGCTCTGCAGCTGTGATGGAGCAGTGACCGAGGTTACAAACGTAAGCCCCAAGGCACTTCCCTGTGTGGTTCCTAAGCAATCCCCCCCCCCCCCCCCCCCGCAGCAACTTTACCACTGGGAGAGAGGACAGAACCGTCCGATTGGAGTTGTATCCAGCCTTCTTCAGGTGGTTCCCAACCAACAAGACAGCTCTGCTTATCAGGTTTGACAACATGAAAGGTTTTCTAGATGTTCTGGTTGGCTTTCTGCACGATGTTGAACCAGGCTTGGATCTTGGCACAAACACTGTCGCGAGAGAAAGCTCCCCCCTCCATTACCTCCTTATTTCTCTGCTTCCACAGTTGCCAGCAGATAATCCCAAACTCAGTGACAGTTGGTTCGTGTTTGATGTTGAGGGAGAGCCATTCAGAGAAGGAAAGTCTTCCATTCCTAGTGGCGTCTTTCATCATGAACTTCTCCCAAATTCTTTTCGCTTTGCTGCAATTTCTCAAGATATGTTCAATTGATTCATCCTCATCTTTACAGTGACAACACAGGCTGGTATTGGAGATCTTCCTTCTTGTCAGTTCAGTGTTGGTGAGTAGCCTGTCGTGGGTGACAAGCCATAGGAAGTGTTTGATGCGATTTGGACCCTTCAACTTCCATAGCTCCTTCCATTTCCCACTGGCTTCCATCTGCTCCATATCTGCAGCCAGCTTGTATGCAGACTTCAGGCTGAATCTTCCATCTTGCTCCATTACCCAGAAGGTTGTATCTTCTCCAAGCTCCTGGTTAGGTGCATCAATACCTGCAATGGCCGAGAGGATGTCATCAGGTAAGCACGTTCTGAGCTGATCCCATTCCCACTTACCTTCCTCAGTAATCCAGTCAGCAACCAAGGAACCCCTCTCCTCCTCGGTGATGTCAATGGTAGCATGATCCAGCAGAATGGTATCATAGTTTACCCAAGGCTGTGTCCAGAAGAGAGTTGATCTCCCATCTCTAATACTCCAGCAGGTAGCCTGTTTCATCAAGTTCATTCCCCTGATCACAGCTTTCCACAGGTTAGAGTGGTTTCTCTTCTTCATTAACAGAATTTTCCCATTCTTTTGCTTAAAATATTTCCCCTGCAAAACTCTAACCCACAAGTCAGAATCTTTATTCAGCATGTTCCAACCAAGTTTAATCATATAGGCCATATTCATGTTTCTAGCAGACTGACTCACTCCTACTGTCACTCTAGAAATTGGCTAAGTGTAACCACTTCCTAAAGTGTAGTATAGCGGGTTTGGGTTTTAATGTCAACCCGGGTCCTAGATTTGATGACTACTCGGTGAATTCTTGTTATCTAGCAGTGAAACTTTAGTGCAAGTCCAAATTAACAAACAAACAAAGCAAGTTAAACGGTTGTTTTCAAGTCGAGAGAGGTCACCCGGATATGGTTCCCCCTAGACTGCAGTTAAGCCGGATTGCAATTTACCAAGTTCAGTTTTCATGAAAGTTATACTGCAGAAGGTTCTTAAACAGTCTGAAGTCTCGACTAAAGGTCTCCAGACCCTCTCAATCTAAGTCTCCAGCGGGCGACTAACCTCCACCGGAGTAAACAGATTAAGGCCCTAACGAACCAAACCTCCACCACCGAAGTAAATTCGGTACAGAATAATGAATTGGCTCCTCGACTAAAGTCGCCAATTCACTACCTTCAATTAAGGGTGCTCTATCAACCTAGGCAGATATTCTCTTTCTAAGTTAAAGCAGAAACAACAGGAATTTGATCAGGATTCAAGTCATTCAATCATTCAAGCCTCAATCGAATATAATCAAATCATAAAATCTGTACTTGGGTTCATACAATCAGACCTAACATACAAATCTAGGGTTCTCCATACCCAGATGAATGGGAAAACTACTCCATGGAGAGAGAAGCAAAAGCAGATTCAGATGCGGAAATCATACTGTGAAGAATGAGTTTCTGCTCCTGGTCGTCGATCGGCACTTCTCCAAGCTCAAGCCGGGCTCCAATGGTGATGAAGATCAAGCTATGGCACTTGGGAACTCTGGTTCGTCGCTTTCTCTCTCTAGGAATCGCTCTGTCTCTCTAAAACTCGGAACCCCTTCTCTTTTGGCTCAAATCTGCCTAAAAAGGCTGACCCTGGGCAAAACACAGCCGAGGGCACGGCCCTGCTTTGATTTAGCCCGCCCGTGCCCTTGCCACTTGTTTAAAACACGGCCACGCTTTGGGAGAAACACGGCCGTGGTTGAAGTAGGACACGACCGTGTTCTGAATCAGTCCCACCCGTGTTTTGGTCAGCGCAGGACAACCTTGGATCAAGCCTCGGCATTAAAAACACGGGCCAGAAACACAGCCGTGTTTTGATTTAGGCGCGCCGGTGTTTTGGCTTTCTCATCATTCAGCTCTCGGCAATAAAAACACTGGCGTGCCTTGTGGTGTACACGACGGTGCTCTTCAGGCCTCCTGCCCGTGCTTTGGTCCCAGCTCGACCAAATGACTTCCAAATGCCCCGAAACTCGTGCTTGGCCTTCCCTTCGACGTCTGGGACCTGAAATATGACAAAGTAGCACAACCCGACGTAAAATAGGCCAAAACACACGACTATGCCCCGCAAATAGATAAGAAATAGGGGTACAAAAACGTGCAATTACATCGTTGTCACAGACTTAAGCCCCAGACCACCTTGGTCTTTGGGTTTGAAAATGCTCTCCCAAGACACCAGGTGGGACTTCCTCTTCCCCTCCCTAGAGCCCCAAACGAAGGATCTAACTCTCTTATCAATAGCATCACAAAATGGAAGCAGGCAAGAAGGTAGTCTGCATTGTATAGGTGGGGAGGGCATTCAGAACAGAAACAGCAAGGGTGACTCTGCCAGCAAGTGACAGAGTTCTGGCTTTCCAACTGGTAAGCTTTTGGTCAATCCTATCCAGGATATACTTATAGGTTGTCTTGGTTATCCTCCCATGGATAACTGGGACACCAAGGTATTTTCCTAGGTCATTGGTTGCTTGTATACCAAGTATGTTGCATATCACACTCCTAGTTTGGTTCTTCACATTTTTAGAGAAAAACACCCTAGATTTCTCCTTACTAACAGACTCTCCTGAGGAAGCACAGAAGTTGTCTAAGCAGTTCATAACAATCTCAGCTTGTTGTGGACTACCTTCCACAAACAAAACTAGATCATATGCAAAGAACAGATGAGACAGTTCTGGTCCTCCAGGTGAGAGTCTGATAGGTTTCTATTTATGAGTATTAACTTCCTGGGAGATACAGTGACTCAATCTTTCAATACAAAGAGTAAAAAGATAGGGAGAGAGAGGGCATCCCTGTCTTAATCCTCTAGTGAGCTTGAAGCTCTCAGTCTCTCCTCCATTCCAAAGCACTTGGTAGCTTGTGGATGTAACACATTCCATTATCATCTTCACACACTCTTCAGGTAGTCTTGCAGCTCTGAGTGTGTCCTCAAGAAACTCCCATTACATTCTGTCGTAGGCTTTAGCAAGATATATCTTTAATAGCATATAGCCTTTCTTTCCTCCTTTCCTGGCCATCGAGTGGATAGTTTCCTGCATAATGATAATATTATCAGTGATGTGTCTGATAGGTATGAAACTGGATTGATAACTGTTAACTAACTTAGCCATAAGAGGTTTAATCCTATTGGCAATAAGTTTAGCCACAACTTTGTATCCCACATTACAAAGACTTATATGTCTAAACTGTTTCATGGAGGAGGGGTCATCCACTTTTGGAATCAAGGCCAACAATGTTTCATTCAGGCTTTTGATTCTGCTGGGGTTCATGAAGCAAGAGGCAATGAAAGAGGAGAAGTCATGTCCAACTGAATCCCAACATTTTTGGTAAAAGATAGCCTGGAAGCCATCTTTACCAGGGGCCTTAAGACCATTCATTTCCATAATCACCATTCTAATCTCCTCATGGTTAGGGCAGAAGGACAGCTTATTCAACAAGGCATCTTCAATGATAGGAAATTAGCAGGGATGGCATGGCTATCAATCATAACAGACTTGGTAAAGAGGTGCAAGAAATACTCCCTGGCCATTGTGAGGAGGGCGTCAGCATCACTGATCCACTACCCCTGATCATCTTGAATACAGGTAATCTTGTTTCTTTTCCTTCTGCTGAGGGTGCAGGTGTGAAAGTACCTGGTGTCTAGGTCTCCATAGATCACCCAGTTAGTCCGAGACTTTTGAATCCATAGCATCTCCTCCTGCCAGAGGGTGTCTTCCAGTTCCTCTTTTTTTTTCTTGTTCTTTCTCCATTGATGTGGTTGTAGGTCTTCTCTCATTCAGCAGCTCAAGTGATTTGAGTTCTCTCAACAGTTTTTTCTTCCTTCTGAAAATATTGCCATAGACCTCCTTGTTCCAGCTTCTCTGCAAGGTGGTGCAAGGCTTGTGGGAAGTCTCCTCCACCACTCCAGGCAGCTTTCAAAAAGTCAGGGAAGTTCTCATGTGCAAGCCATGAGGCAAGGAACTTGAATCTTCTGGCCTGTTTCAGTTTGGCAGGTTTAGTGGAGGTGCAAGTCAAAATCGGTCTATGATCCGATTTGATCTTAGGAAGGTGTAAAGTAGTAGTTCCAGGGAACTTATGCTGCCAATTGAGATTGCAGATGCTTCTATCCAGCCTTTTTTTGATGCCACTATTTCTTGTGAACCAAGTAAATTTTGGTCCAGTGAAACCTGTATCCAAAAGGCCACAGTCTTCCATACATTCATTGAAGGCACGAAGCTTAGCAAAGCTGAAGGCAGCCCCCCCCCCCCCTTGTTTCTCACAAGCTCTAGAAATGGAGTTGAAGTCTCCTATGAGAATCCATGGGATCCAGGGTAGATCTTTTAGTTCTTCTCATAGCATCCCAAAACTCCTTTCTGTCATGCTCGTTTGGACTGGCATACACATCAGTGATTTGAAAAGATTTCCACACTAGCAGATGAGCATTTCAGGCTGATGTACTGCTTATGGTTATCAACATCTTCCATCTCTAGCTCCTTCTGGTTCCAGAGGACCCAAATGCCTCCACTATACCCTGTAGCATCAGAGATGGCCCAGGTATCATACCCCATTGCTCTGATGACATCAACTGCATCCTTCCCACTAATTCTAGGTTCCATAATGCAGACAATATCAGGCTTGTGTTCTTCTTTAAACATCTTAAAGGATGGCAGGAATTTGGGGTGTTTAGCCCCCCTGCAGTTCCAGGA